GTGTTTAGTATGTTTTTTTTAGTTGTTAACTCTCTGATACTTACTATACTTCTGTGACCCGGCTTGTCGGAATTCTTTTTGCATTTTGATAACTCAATGCTCAATAAAATTGAGGCTACTACGGTTATAAGCATAGTGGTAACATGTGCTAGAAACTGAGGGGAACGGCTTGTAAACTCATTTATGCATTTATATTATTTTATTTCTTTAGTTTTCGGTTCCAAAAGAGGAATGAAAATTATTGTATGATCTATATATAATTTTACGTTACCCATTTTATTAATTAGGCGTGATAAAACACGTTTTGTACCCGAAATGTCCGTGAAAACAAACATGGCGTCAGTTTGTCGGCAATAGACCCAGTTGTTTGCGAAATCTTCCTATCCAATATTTCGTAATATTACATTCGGTAAGTTCTATTAAAAGTATTAGGGTTGCAGAAATGGGGGAAAGAAAATTCTATTTCAAGTTACTAGCCGAGATATCGTGGGTTTAATTCCCAGCCTGGGCAAACAATTGTGGACCTTTTGTAGTTTAAGTATATTTTATCATTAATATGTTACATGATTATTAAGTATGTTTATCAGTTTTTGTGATCCAGTTCATCCGTGATCATGTCGAAATATCGGAAACGAATACCCAAAAATAAACATGGTAAATATCCCGTTTATTATAACTCATCAAATGTTTATCAGCTGTCTGGTTACTACAGTAATCTGCCTAGTTTAGGATCACAGAGCTCTGTTTTATTCAGTTTTCATTATTATTAGTGAAAGAACGCAATGTGGTAAGGTCGGAAAATACATTGGCACCGATGTACAAATGGAACACAGAGAAGAGAGGTAGTTTATTCAGTTCTCTTCTCTTCTCCATCTATGTCAACGATCTCTGTAATCTTAACTTTTCCTCTACCCACATAATCGCGTATGCCGATGACGCAGCAATGGTAACATATGGACGTGACTGGGATATTACAAAGAATGTCGCAGAATCTGCCCTGAAGCAGGTGGAAACTTGATCAGCCAGAAATAGGCTGACGCTAAATGTTGACGCTAAAAGAAAACGAAATTCATCACTATCGGATCGCGTCTCTTTACTTTACCACCTGAGCCTAACTTACTAACTTACCCACCCTAAAACACACATAACTATATGTGTGTATTTATATTTATTTTTTCTTAATTCTTTCTCTTTGTACGTATCATAAAAAACATATGCAACAATCACTGTTAAAGCACACCTGAACACATTACGGACGGATGGATGACTCCCATAGTACAGGATTTTCCTAGCATGGGGTACACAAAATCAATGATCAATGATTTTGTGTGTATTCTGTTTTTTTTCTAAGTGTATAAATAATGTGAAATACTATGTATGTATAAGGAATTTTTTTTCAATTAGTCATCAACAGCCTGTAATAAGACCACTGCTGGACATTTCCATTATTGTATTATTGTGTGTGATAGTTTAAAAAGCGATGATATTAGCAGTTTAAAAGAAATTGCCATGTGTAAATTTAAAATTAGTCGGTCTTTGATATTTTGATTTTTCTATTTTTAAGCTGCCGTGTTTGTCTGTCTGTTGTATTACCATTTATGTATTTCTTGTAATACATAAAATACAAATATTTATTATTTGTTAACGTTACTTTTCCACTTACAAACAATGTTACATGTTTTGTTCATTTACAACAAACTAGTACCAGGCGCCAATAAAAAACTAAGAGTTTACATTACATAACTTGTACAACAATAGTGGCGTCACAGGGTCGGCCTCTTCGTGCTTGTGTTTTTACGCCTGTACACTAACTTTTATTTCTTGCATTATTCGAGTTCGTTTTAGATAACATTCAAGATCTCCCTTGCGTTAAGAGTGGAAATATAAGGCGTTTGCGTATTTTGGTAACTTTCATTCCTGTTTGAAGATTGTAAACACGGTTTCCGTTCAAATATTACGAGAGGGTAGGTAAGTAAGTAAATACTGTGAAAGGTTATCAATACAATTTCGATGACTATAGAAGGAAAATGTTGTCACGAAATAAAACTCCATATTAAATCTATCCTTTTAGAGTTTTAGGGTTGATTTTCCTAAAAATGATTGTAAAAAATACGTACAAAGTAATTTTGATAAACGTTATGCACCCAGCCATATACGAATGTAAATACTAAATACGTCTGTGCATGACGGATGTGAGAGAAAGTGACTCAAAAATATGCTTAGCCTGATAAAGGTAAGCAAATAGTCTAGAATTCTGCAACGTGGGATGGTTAAAATTAAGATGCTATTTACCACTTCGCTGAAACTACGGATTTATATAGTACTAATAACTTTGCATATCATGATTACTTGTTACAATTTAAGAGAAACTACCAAGCTCTCATAATCTTCAGGAGTGTTAAAATTAAATAACCTGGAATCACCAAGGGACAAAGAAAGAACAATAGAATCAATTCGTATCATTCCACAAGTACTAGGCGCTCTGAGACTACAAGGAGATGTTACGACTCAAAGGCGCCAAGTTGTCGGTAGCTGCACCCTAATGCTGACAGTTCGGAGGGGACATTAAAAGGGGATGCACTATATTTATTGTTCGAGTTAGAGGCCCATTTATCTATATATATATCTATATATCTATGGATCCTCGGTCGGAACGTGGTACTTCCATAAGATATTATTTTGATTAGGTACAATTCAATTAATTTATTTTAAAATCAGAACACGGCATGGCGGCATACTGTTTGTGCGAGTATAACCGAATACAAACAGTATTTTGGGATCGTATTCGTTAGTTAAATGAACTCAAGAGATCTGGTGACTTTATTACCAGTAAATAAACATACTTACAAAATCAACATTCGCGTCCACCAACTTTATCGATACTATCTATGGACTTTTTTATTATTCAATTCGGCGTTAATCTACTATTCTATTCACACCATAAATACGTGTACTAACTTAAGTTAATTAAAATATGTATAAAGTACATGAAGAAAACATTTATAAAAAAATAACTTGTAAATTCAAAAAAAAAAGATTTTTTTGCCTTGTCGGCTCCGTGGTAAGAACTTGAATAACAAACTCATTGATTTTTCCACTTATTGTTTCGATCATCATCGTAAAAGAAATTAGGGATATTCATTCTACATGAGGATGCATAGAGTATTACAGAGATGTCAGCAACATCAAAGCAGGTGTAATTCGATTATTAAAAAAATACAAAATTACCCTATCTTTCTATTTATCATTTAAATTTACTTTCGTGCAATGTTAGTACGTCTTTGCTTTTTGATTTCCCTGTGGATATGTAAGGGAAAATAGACATATTGCGCCAATTTTTAAAGGAAATAGTTGATAATAGATTGTAGAAGATTTTTGTTTAAGTACACGTAACAAGTTTTTTGAACAACAAAGTATTATGCAAGTGCGCAGCGTGGTTTTAATAACAAATAATCCTAAAACGAAAAACTTAAAATATAATATATTATTTAGGGTGGATGAAGACAACAAATAGCTTCTGTGATTTAAAGAAAACTTAAAATTGATTCACTATTTTATACATAATATAAGCTTCTGCAAATATATAAAATGTATCGTAGTTTTGATTTGAAGGCAATACAAAACTAATTTCTATTTGGAGAAACAGCTATGATATGAGTCTAATAAACCAAATATTATAGCTGGTGGCGCAAACCACTGCACTCTAACAGCAAGTAAGTATATATTTTAGAGCGGTATATATTACAATATTATACTAATCCAATGTAAAATATGCCAAAACCTCCTTTTTAATGAGAGGCCTATGGTCAGCAGTGGATTATTAAGGGCTGTTTCCGATGATGATGATATATTAATCATCATGAGAGTTCTGATTTATTTATTTATTTATTTTATACTTTATGCACAAATGTGACACAGGCGGACTTAATGCCGTAGGCATTTTCTACCAGTCGACCTTAGGGCGATGCAGAGTTAAAAAAATGGTAGATGCACAGAAATTAGAAATGTGATTTAAAAGAAAAAAAAAATAGTATAAATAGAATATCATATGCACATTGTGTCCATATATTATGTTTACATAATAATATACATTTATACATACATATAACTATACATATTATATATATATACATATACATACATACACACAATAAATTTTAGAAGAGAGAGGTATCACGGTAGATCTGATAAGGAGTTAAAGAGATGTTTCCGCAACAGGTATTTAAAAGTTTGCCGAGTTTTTGCCATCCTGATCTCGCGAGGCAGCGCGTTCCATAACAGGACGGATTGTACCAGATTACGTGATGCAGGATTTATCGAGCACATAATAGTTGCCTTTAGGAGGAAGTCACCTAGTGCCGGACACATAAGGTTTTCAGGAAATAAAATTAAAACTACATCGAGAAATATGTATTTATTTATGAATTACTTAAATTAACAAAACATAAAATCAAAATCAAATAACAAAAATACAAATTCTGCGTAAACATAGTTTAGGATAATAAGTTTTGGTAAAAAAATGAAGGACTTTGACATTGGCACCTAGTCCCGGACGGGTTAATCTTCAAACCCCAAGCGCCGGACATTCTAAAACTTTTAGCATCTATCACATATGTAGGCATCTCCACATTCTGGAACGTCTGCACATGCTTCATGAGCCCATTATTGGCATCTGGAGCATTGTATCCAGTCCTCGTCGTGGTCTTCTAAACACACTACACAAGTCGTTTTTTCTATATTTGATACTTCAGTTAACGGCTCCTTTTTGCTGTCGTTATTGCCACGTTTGGTTTGTTTACTCATGGGGAATCTTCATAGGTTCAGCCAAGTCGTAAGCTAACTTCAAAAACTCGTTTTTCATCAGGGGCAGACATCTATTAGACAAATCTCTTATGTGGTCCACTAAAACTTGCTCATACTTGGGTGAGAAGGTTTTTGTGAATCTACCAACTTTTGGTTGCAACGTGACTTCTTTTCCACTGCTCAATGTCGTTATTTTATCATGTACAGTACTTTTTGGAACATTGTAACGTGACGAAGCTGCCCTCAAACTCATTTTTTTGGACAAAATCTTGTTCATCGCAGTTTTTAAACTTTGCTGATCCCATTTTCCTTTTTTTTTTCTCTCTTGCATTTTCAAATATCTCTCTCCTTCTATCCTGTTAAACAACAAACAATCATCATTACAATAAGAACAAATGCTTCATAAAAAAGCTAACCTATAAACTGTCCGGTGGTAAGGGACACCTTTGTGTCCGAAAGTTGGGGACGGGAAACGTCCAAAATTACGTATTTCATACTAAAACTGTTTAGGTATTTAATAAAAACTTTCACAATATAATAATTATAGTGAAACACTGTCTTTATTAACAAATAACAAAAACAATTAAGGATAAAACCATAGCAGTAATACTTACTTGAAATTTACGTGACGCAACGCTTTCCCACCAAAAACAGCAATTCACGGCTTCCACCACGACTGTGCGCCTCACTGGCAAATCGCGTTGCGTGATCCTGTCTCGCTACGTTCCCCCGCACCCCTTTCACCGATTTATAAATAGATCGCGTTGACGTTTGTCAAAATAGTATGAGTGTCCGGCGCTAGGTGCCGTCCGGCGCTACGGGACTTCCCCCTACTAGTTGACACTTAGTTATATGCAGGCTATTACTGGATATCATTGAAATCATTGGCCTTTGAGGAAATAGTTCGCTCTTTTCTTGAAGATTTGAAGGTCATATCGGTCTGGAAATACCGCAGACGTTAACCTGTTCCACAGGTTGGTAATGTGAGGCAAAAAGTGTGATTAATCTGGGATAATTTGGGATGGAAATGAATAGAAGTACTTGTAACTACAAATACTGGTCATTTTTTTTTCGCCTCACCCGTCGTACCCTATTTAGTATACAACTTTATCTTAATTTTTTCCAGTTAAAGAGGATGATCCTATCCATATGATGACGGATTAATATAGAGTGTCACCACCCCTATTCATCCCGTGGGTGTCGTAAGAGCCGACTAAGGGAGCAAACTACGCAGGACAACAGCACTGCAAAGAGAAAGCAAACTTGATACAAAGGCTATACCAACCCGCCTGGCCAGCTAAGCTAAAACCTCATTTTAAAGAAGAGGCCTATGTCCAGCAGTGGACTTTTTAAGGCTGTTGATCATGAAAGACGATAATTGATGGTTGTTGTGGCAGACGTCAACCAAAACACACAACCGCGATGCAATTTCCGACTTTGGATAAATACTAGCCTCGTGATTTGAAGTAATAACATGGGTTCCTAATTATCATTAAAAGCAAACCATGCGGCTTACTTAAATATTTTTCGTTACCTTTTCCTTTCCAACAGGCTTTTCTGTTATTAAATTACAATTTTATTGTATAAAACAATTAACAGATACTGGAATAGCAAATGTTTAGACAAACAAAATTTAATTATGGTAGAATGGTGTCTCATCCGTTGTGGTTAATTTTGATGGAACTTGCTTGTTTTAGGTATATTTGGGAAACTCGCCCTAAGGAAATATCTTCAAATTAAATTGTATTAAGTAAATAATATTGTAGGATTTTAGTCTAAAATGTATTGTACCAGTATTGAGTTTTAAACTAAATTTTAGGGGCTTCCAGTACAATACATAAATCATTATAATCGTGGGGTAGACAAATTGGTAGACCCGTGTTCATTCAAATTATAATTTTATCTTTTGTGTAGAGCCCGCATGCATTGGTTTGATGACTGATGACTATCTATATTTATCTCTTCCTAAGGTAGGGGAAATACGAACTAATAAAGAATTTGATAATAAAATTCTCTGTATTTCATGTTCTTGTTATAGCTGTATATGTTTCACACACAATATATTGCAAAATGGTTCTGGATTTTTCTTTAATTGCGGCTACCTTCCTGACGTCTCTCTTCACTCCTATGGAGTGTAATCTTTCTTCATGCATATTATGAAGCGAAATGCTGTCAACCACTTGCTCAAGTCAAATTTAAAGAAAAACTTGTTTTATTAGAATATCACCGCGGTACTCATAACTTTAACTGAAGACTTTAAATTGCACAAATTACAAATTATTTTCACTTAGCATCAGTCCGTGAAGTCATACTGTTAATGGGAGACTACACTGTCAGCAGGACTGTTGCAGCTGTTGGTTCGAGGCTGTACAACACTTTGTGGATTTGTGAGGTTGTTTAGAGTATACTGATATATCCAAAACTGCTTCTCTTCTAATTCTTAACTGACAACGACGAATGGTTTCTTCTCTTTGGTGTCTAGCTTTACAAAACTTTTTAGTTTGCTATCAAATCCCTGTTTCTTTCTTTTAATATAATTGTGGTGTAACAAATTTAATTCCAGATTATAATAATTGCTCGCTCTAAACCGTGTAGACGCACGTATTAATAATAAAGATACTTCGTTTTATCATAAGAATATGAAAACGTCAGGAAAAATACTGACAGGTCAATAACGCCACTTTATCTTTCTAAGATACTCACGACCTGCAATCATATTAGATTGATTTTATATAATTTAAAAGTTATTTATTAACATGTATAAAAATAGTCATTTAAATTTGCACTATGTATGACGTAATCAATAATAAGGAAACTATTTATCTTCTTTATCTCTATTTTACTAATAAACTTAAATTTAAACAGGTATAAGATCATACTCAGGGTTTGTTTCTAAACTCTTTTTGTTTCTAAAATTGAAGAACCTAAAAATACGAAAAAGAAAGACCACTCTCTGAGAACTCGGATTCTATTAAAATAAAAACTCCATATATACTTTTTGAATTCATTTTACTTTATTACAATAAAGTCTCAGGTTAGTATACACTATTTACAAAAATTAAAATATTTTTAACATAAAATAGAAAATAATATTTTTTTATTACTATGTTACTGAACCCTGAGTAAACAATTTCATGACAATTAAGTATTATTAAATACGTATATAAAAAATTATAGTTAACAGTAGTATAATACAATAAGCTACAGTTTTATCTAAATACGAATACTAGATACGATCTAAATATCAATTACACTATCTAGGTCATTGAAAATAGAAAATCAAAAAACTATTTAAAAATGTCTTTATTGTTTATCGTATAGAATATCCCAACAGAATAACTCTGAGGCTATCACTAACGCTGTTTCCCGAAATAGAACTCAATAAAATAATACAATTTAATACATATAATATATCGCACCTAAAGACCGTATGGACGGTGCTGTAACGGTATGTCCTCAACGGTTAACCCAGCGTAAGTAAACATTGAAATTGATTTTTTTTGTTTAGAATTGAGCACAAAAACACAATATGTGAGAAACATTTCTGGACAAAAAAAGTATTTTTATCATCCGGGTCAGTTGGTCCAGTCCATTTTTGAAGAAAAATAAGTTTATGTCGACTACACGTAATGCTCTTAAGACTTGAAAACCCATTTTTGTATTACAAGTAGATGCACCTTTGTGCTAAATATTAGAAATATCTTAAACTAACTGAACAACTACAATCTAGGTTTAAGTCATTTCACCGCCAACGCATAGCCAAAATTGTGGTGAGCACAGATACTAGAAGAATTGTGAAAAAGCTGGTGATATCGAAGTGGCGAGAGGCAGCATTGTAGAACCCGCCGTAAACCTGGAGACCCGCGGTCTCGATACTGAAATGAAAGAGAGGTTATTGAGCATGTACATACATTTTCTTTTAATTATTAGATAACTAAACATGAGACTGGATGCGTTTTAATCAATTAAAACGTGTATCATAGAAGCAACTTAATAGTTTAACTTTTCCTGGGACTTCCCGAGTGCCATTACTACGAGTAAGTGTGTTCGTGAGTCTCTGTTCTTGATCAGGAATTGCAGTAGTGGATATGTGGATGAGATTTAAGCTAAAATTAAGGAATGATTGATACAGCTTATTTATTATGATTTAATCACATTGAAGTCGGTCATGTTTTTGAAGATATCTCTTCAAAAACATGACCGACTTCAATGTGTTTGTGCATACCATACAAAGAGAGAGAGTTACCTCCTGAATTTAGCCCTTTATTGAATTGGTTAAATATTTTGAAAATTACATATTATGATACCTACCTAAATTTACAATAGTCTCCATCATAACTCCATCCAAGGTATTCTCCAGTTCTAAGATTTTCGCTTCTGAGCCAGTCTTCAAGCGGCCTGAAGTAATCCCTTAAAGCCTCTCCATTCAGGCTACCTTCTCCGATAGTTTCTTGTAAAATCTGTGTCCATGGGGCAGAAGAACCACGCTCCATGATGCGCCTGAAATGTGATAGATGATTTCCTAAATATCTGTTTCATGCAGCATGTTTAATATTTTGGCAAGTTATTGTCACCTTAAAGTGATAGATCATATTATAGCTCGAAGAAAATTTTCCAAGCGACGGACAGTATTCAGACATACCAAAAACTCAACAGGCTGGTAATATGGTTATGTGAGTTAGTAATTGATCTCTTTCCTTACCCGTAAAAGTAATACATAAATAAAACCTAAAAGCATATGTTGTTTCTAAGATATAAAAGTATATGACGACTAAGTATATGTCGATTACACATGATGGGTAATAATGGCGTCTCTGGGGCCACAGGTTCGACTCAGTGCCTGATTATGTATATCCACCTACTCTAGAACCTATGGTTGGAGCTCCGCTTATTTTTGGGTAGAGCTATGTGTAATATGTTCCAAATTATTTTTATTAGTTATTTTTATCAATATTCACCTATTTAAATCGAATTCACAACATTAAATTTGTAATGATAATCACGATTATTCCATTATAGGTGCTAAGTTAGAGAATAAGGAAAAAGCTAAAAATAATTTATTTTTGAACGGTTTACTTTCAAACTGGTAGGCAAACAAACTCACATTTATAATTTTAGTATTGATTGTACCGAAAAATTATAACAAATATTATGAATGCATTGGTGGTTTAATAAATAAGTTATTTATTTTGTTTATTTATTTATTACGTTTAACGCATTAACTACTGATTGGTTCAGTAGTTAATGCGTTAAACATACAAGGTAAAAGGTACAGACGAACAGAAAGGATATAGAACACCTTTCTTTTACTACTATTCCCCGATAATATCTGGCTTGACTGACAAAATTTTCTTTAACGCAAATAAAAACGCAGATAGATATTTTAGTAGTAAATAAAAACTAAAACAACATTAATCATTGATAGATTTCATCGAAAGCTGTGTAAAATATGCGTATCATTCAATGCCGCCGGAGTCGCCGTATAGTAATAATTATGCAGTCAACAATCTAAACATTACGTAAACAACAGACGAGAAGTAACACCATAATTTACTACCAGTATTACCTTACACTGTCTCTATAACTCCGATCAAGTAATGTAAGGTGGCAATTGTAAGTAACCTGAGCCTTTATATAATTCGTTACGGTAAGACAATGCCAAACTAGGGCTACCTGCGCTTGCGCAAGCGATCGTAGGCTCCCTATACTGCCTATGCCGATATTATGCAGCTCTTCCGGCATTTTGGCGTATAGGACTACGCGCGGATAGGGTGCGTTCGCGTTGTGTCGTCTAGCTATTTCTATTATCACAACTGCCCTCATGAGTCTAGGTTGTTTATACTCGACAATTTACTATTTTGTGCCAGTTGCCCTGTCGCTTTCACAAAGATCGCAAAAGCTCCTCTACAACTATTAGGAGTTAGTAGTGTAGTACATTGTAGGCGGTAATACGACATTTTTATCATATCTCGATAGACAGTCGTGACTACTAAATATCATCACGATCATGACGGATCATTTATTTTATCGTTTAATACTGTCGCCTAAAAGTTCCTACGGTATTGACACTTATTATTATACATTAAAAGGTTCGTGGACAAATGGTAATTGTGCTGTAAAGTAAGTTAACATTTCTATTTAAATTTACAAGGGAATGCAATTGCAAACGCTGCCTGTGGAATTAATACTAGGATTAAGGAAAAACAGTAAATCTGTTTTAGAATTGCAGCGGAACTAAGTATTATCAAATGCAGACACCCATTCAGACTTTGGCGGATGCTATGAACAATACTTCGTGATCGATAGTTAACTTTAAAGTCAAGATTTTGCCAACATGTTTTTTTCACAATTTTGTAGATATGACATAACTGAACATGAACTCCTTAAAATACTTGCAACATTTTTTACCTTCGTATTACAGGCTTATGATACAAATAGTTATCTTAAATGGTAGTGTTAAAAATAAAGTATAGTATCAACATATATTTACATATACGTTATTCTATTTTATTTTTAAATTTTGCTTTTTGTTTCTATGTGAACTTAAGTTTTTATTTCTTTCCGTGGCGATTTTTAAATTTAATATTTTGTTTGTACATTTGAACTTTAGCAACAGTTGTGATTCTATAGCATTTTATATAAATCTAAAAGATAATCTAAGTATTACGACTCAAATCTGTTAATTAATTTAAAATATTATAAAATCTAAGTAATTAAAATTCGAAATCCCCTACAAATAAAATTGTCTAGTAAATATTATACTTTAATGAGTTACTATCATCAGTAAACACACAGCAAAAACATAACTTTTTGAGTAAAAAAGGTTCACGAAAAAAAAAAACATAGACCGAACTAGTCTGGAGTTAAGCTCACTCTGGTTTGCATTAGAATTACATCAGATTTAAAATATTGCAAAAACATAAACTATTACTATGTATCTACAATGTGAAAAGGCACCCAAGAAATTCTCGTCATAGAAAGTAGCTCAAAGTTATACAAGTATTAATGACTGTTCTACTGGCATCGTAATACAAGTCAGTATTAAATGGTAATAAATACAGGTACCTCTCTGTTAACGAAGTCACTAATTTAAAACAGAGTATAATAATATTCTCGATGTTTACGTAAGACAGTGTTCTGAAATTCATTTACATTAATGAGTTTATTGAAAAACAGCATGATCAATGTTATATTAGTAACGCTGATACGTAAGCGATAATATATGATTATCAAAAATAACTTTAATATAAGTTCTGTATTTTCTACTTATTGATCAGTAGACCGAAAAATAGAAAAGATGTTTGTTGTCATGTTTATGTATATCTTTGAAGTTTTACGAATTAAAAAAAAAAACAAATTTTTAAAACTGACGTAAACGAAAACTATATTTCATTATTATACTACGTTTTAGTGTGCCTATCAGTGGGCTGGTTATCAAAGTACAAGCTCAGTCCAGTTAAGGATCAGACGGCTGTGTGTGGAATGTGTCAAAGTAATGTCGTGTTATTGCATCCCCCTGCAAAAAATCATGTATTTTTTATTTTTTCATCTCACAACCTCAAATACTTTTAGGCTAGGGAAACCACCTAGCTCATATAGAGTACTCAGAGTCATAATGGTGTCCTTTTATCTCGATGACTAGTACTTCATTAGGGAACAGGCCTGAAGACGTGCAAGTAATAATTACATAAATCTTTATATGTTCCGTTTATGTACTTCTAAAAACAGTAACTACAATTCAATAATATGAGATTAGAACAGCTGATTACCGCCATTAAATTTGACATTGTTACACGAGCTATGGCCATGCTTTAACTTTCAATTAAAACACAACAGCATTATTATTATTGTTACAATAATAACAGATTGTGATCTATACATTTTAATATTACATAAAATTAGATGTAAATCTGCATAAAGCGGTTTGCCCTTGACCGATGAAACACGGCTGACTTGCGAGATGTTATCGTATTATTTATAATTATAGAGGTGTGTATACCACTGCATTTATGATTACATTATTAGTTAAGAAAGGTCATGTAGGTAAGTTCATAAGCACAGAAGATTTTAGCTTGAATCAGAGTAACTTTGAAACAAAGACTTTTTTGTCTCTATGCCTTTTTTTATTACTGCCGATACACATACTAGTATTTAGATAAATAACTAGTGACATACACGTAAGTATTTCTAACACTAATGAGTCTGCGCGCTCGAATATATATATAAAAGTTATATATATATATATATATATAACTTTTAATAATTTTATTAATAAAAAAAAAACATTTCTGGAGATTCGCTTGCATAATTTTTCTGTTGCACTTTTTAATTCAATACTTTTTCTGTATTAAAGGTAGGTAGGTAGGTTGAGAATTAAAGAATGTTCTTTGCTGTATATCTGGTAATGTATAGGCAAAATTTTGTCCCAATGATGTAAACGACAGCGTATGGAATTGTAAGATCAAATATTTATTTTAATGTATAAAAGAAATCGCCTGGTGGTAAATATCAATGTACTTCTTTTCTCGATATCATTGGCCAGTAAAACTTGATTTGTGATGGAATAGACTTTGGATTGTGGATGTACGAGTATAAAGTTTCATGTCGCCTTATTATACGAGTATGTGTATTACACGTTCATTCTTTTACATTTTTTTTAAGTATACAATCATTTTTTATGTAGGTATTAATAAATAAATAAAGAAGATAATAGTTAAATTTTTGTATTTGTTCTGTTTAATACTTTGACTATATTTTAACTATTATAAATGAATAAATAAGTAACTGAACTATGTATAAAATAAAATGCGTATTTTATGCATAATGATACATTGATACATTATTAATTAACTGTTAATAACATAAAGTAAAATGAACCATATTTAATAAATATAAAGCTTTAACTATTTTGTCTAAATGCATGTGTAAAGATCGAGTTTAATCTTGCACGAGCTGTGTGAAAAACCTGATTTTTGACAGTAATTTCAACTCTATAACTTAGACACAATGGTTGAGTTTTCTGTAATAGAATCGTATAAAAATAAAGTATAGTGCCGACAATTGTGGGCCTCCGCACGGATGTGACCACTTGACGCTAATGCGGGTCGCATTATTACGAGTATATTTTATGCCCTTAAACACATTGTTGAATTTAATGTTAAATTGATTACACAATAATTGGAGCTCTATTGTGTCTAATAATTTTTTTATTACTGTTTATTGACTACTAATGTTATTTATTTATAAAAGGTTACCTGTCTACGCAGTTGTAGAATCGATTCACGCTCAGTGGTCAAAGTTATGTACAAGAATACATCTTCTGGCAAAGGTCCGAGTGTTTTAAGCATAATATTAATTTATATATTATATGAGTATCAAGTTTATGATTTGTGACAAAAAAAGAATCGTGAGAGGTATTCACATTTTGGAGGCAGTGCGGCGCAGCGCCTAACACTGATGCGAAGCTCGATATAGTCCTTGTTAGAGGTCAGAAACTAGTTGGTTATTAGTATTACCGAAATACAAGCTGTACTCAGAATTATGGCTCAATTTTATTATAAATCAATAGACTACCGGCATGAACCTAATCATAGGTAGGTACATGTTAGGGATGTTTGACTACAAACAAAAAGTAATAAACGACAAATTCAAGGAGCCCACTTGAACATGTCTCAGTTGTATTTTTGAGTGAATATAATGGTTACTTTCCTACTCAGTAGTCAGAACTGACTATAGACTCTGCTGGTAAACGAGATACTGAGTTTCAAGTGGAAAGTCAGGAAATAATGTTCAATGAATATATAGGTATACTAAATTATTTTAATAAATAAGCTAAAGTCACATAAATAGGTAGCGACAATACAATTCAGTACCCAATCCTCGTCTGTATTGTTTAGTAGCTATTGAAGTTTTGACGAGTTTTAATTTTATCTAAAAACAATTTAGGTATCATTTTCCTACAACAATACCTGTAGTAATACTAATACTAATAATAACTGTAGTAGTATATTACATTTAGTCAATTTTTATTCAAGAAAAAATTACATTGAATAATTATATAACATATAATATATCATGCAAACACTAATGACACTTTAGGTAGATCAACATAAATAAATTAAATTAAACACTTCTGGCATATTACGATTAAATTTTGCAATTCTCCGCTTATTCGTGTATGACGATTTTAAGCGAATACACTGTTGCGACAATTTTACTTTGCAACTGCGAAATTATATAATGGCACGTAGGGTTACTACTTTAAAGCTATCAATAAAATATTAGACACCATTTGAAGGTAACAGGATAACAAAACACTTAGCGAGTAAATGCCCCTAAAGTCATATTGTAGACTTCTTATAGGGCCTGTACATACTGACAACATCATCATAATCAGTCAAAGTCCGGCAACACACTTGATACTCTTGAATACCCGGTGTGCATGGGCGGTTTATACCAAAAAAGTAGTTTGTAACATTCACACAGTCATTATCATTGCAAGAATATTAGTTAGAATATGAATATAAGAATTAATGATATGTTTCCCTAACAAAAGAGCCTCCAATTAAAGCTTGGTACTTTGTTTGTTGACGAGATGGAAAATGCCTTCTGATCTCCAGCTCCTTATGAAAGCTGGGCCTAGAAGTATGTGGTGTTTCTTATTACCAGGTTTGGTGGGGGAGAAGCTTGCAGCTTCCTCTCACCAAAGCTGGTAATCTTCCTTTAAACTTTTATCGCGAGATCATTAGTAGTTACAACGTAGTTCGGTTTATCTTCGCTAGATGACGCTGAAGTATATTTTTACTGTATGTAATTGAAACTATAAATGTAACGTATTTTTTTTATTATTAAAATATATATTATCTATGTGTACAATTTTTGCAGAGTCGATAGTTTGAAATTAGTTTTGTCATTGATTTATTAATTACATATTAATAGTAAACCCATGACAACAACAATTTAGTGTACCCATTAAGTTTAGTGTATTTGAGATATACTTAACTCTGTTGGCGTTCGTAAATTAACACTATTTTATAAATAAACAGTTTTCTTGAAATAGACGTAATTTTTTAAACTAAATTATTTAAACAAAGGTCTACGACGTGCGAACCCTAGTAACTACATAGCTAGCGGTTCGCTCGCGAACTGCGTTAAGTTTACAAGTAGAAAATACTGCGCTCCATTAATATTGTTTGTTACATTTACATAACACGCATTTGGGTACTATCTTAACTATTTGCACATAAATTTAACCTACTTATTATATTATGTCCAAAAAGCTCGAGAACCGGTGGTTTTGTAATTGGAGTATGATTTGAGAATGTACATGTTTAACTTTAAGATGATACGAGGAATAATATAATTAAGCTTAAACTTATTGGCTTAGTAAAATATTATATTATACTGCCAATGACGAAATACGAGTAATGTTATGTAATAGTAGCAAAATATATGGTATCGAAAAGATTAAGGCATTAATAAATCACTTACGGATATAACGGTTTCGAACGAGCCGGTTTAATGCGGTCTTCTGACTCTGGTCACATAATATGATAGTCTAATTATTTTTGTTAGAGACCTGAAATTATGCAATGTGGTACAGGCAGGAACCGTCAGCTAAAGATAAATTTTGTGAGAGTCTCATATTAAGGCATTTTAAGGACTCTAAAGTATGTACGAAAGGCCTCAAGAAAATTGTAGGAGACAAGAAGTTCACCTAGTATATGAATAAGTAATCGGCATGATTTACCAAATTGCATCTATTCCTCATCCATCATCCATTCCATTTCCTCAATAGTTGTTAACGAATGACAGTATTCAACTTCCTACCAGAGTTGACTTCAGTTACGAATAAATATAAGAGTCGATTGAAATCCAAAGTCGTGACTGTGTCGCCGTCCTAATTACCATTGAACAGAACATTAGTATAGGAAGCCTGGGTATATGGGTCGGAGCGGTTGTGAAACCAGCACTGGACCTAAGTGCCAGAGGCCTAAAATGTCGTTTATTTGTACCATCGAATATTTGACCTATGTAGATTAAATTTATGAAAATGTAATTTTTCTACCAATTATGAAAACCAAGATAACTTTTGTTCTTTACTAACTAGGGAGTCTTAAGGAAATATATATAAATATAATCTTGTAAATTTTGTTAACGCGGATAAGAAGGATAGAAATGACAAAAACTATTTTTATACTAACAAATCTATGGTTACCTTAAATTCCGCAGTTTTCTTAGTATTTCAGACATAATTTGCTACGAAAATAATATTTATATTTTTGCTACATATTAAGTGGAAACTAACTTCTACCAGCTTCTTACACTTTTCCCATATCTTGTAAAATTTATTAAGAATTACTGAAAAAGTAAAGCTCAAAACGATTGGGATGCCGATTGGGTAAGACCTATGCCCAGCGGAGGGTGCTCGTGACTGAATCTCTCTGTGTTAAGAAAATTATGAAATAAATCCAGGAGTCTAAATTTGTATTTTGAACAACAGAAGCAATTTATTTCTAATTCTAAAGTTTAGTCCAAAGTATAATGAGATTATATTATTTATTATATTAAAATATAATGACTGCCTCAATACTAAATGCTAAGCTCCATTTTAGGTACTCCTCCGCATATTCTACATTTTATCCCATAGACTGAACACTTACGTAATATAGATTTAAATCAGTTCTATAGAGGCTATTCTCGATTGCGCTGTGAGAATCTTATTGAACTACGTTAGGTGCTGCTTGTAGGTATGTAGGGCAGGATACTTTCGATGATGTTCAAAATTTGATAGGTTCTAAAATCTACTTAAAACACATTGTGACACACATTTTCAACTTTTTGAATTCTGCGAATAATTAGCAGTTTTAAAATTAAACACATTTAAGACTGGTTATTGATCGCATTGTATACATCGGGAACCATTTCGTAAAGATCTGTTGAGTACTTAGTTTTTACAGACACGACACGCCCCAGTTTTTTAAAAAACTTTCTGAACTAATAAGAACAACACAAACTAGCATTTGTAACACTAATTAGTATTTGTTAGAAAAAATCTTAACAAATGCTACTGGTACAAGTACTGTGGAAACTAGTTGGAGCTTTTACAGTACTTGTGCAAATAAATCTTATTAATTGTGGTAAGACCGATTCCCAAAAAAAGTTATTATAAACAACAACAAGTTGTTTGTACAAACTTTTATTTTTGGTAAAGTCACAACTCCCACACTAGGAATACGAGTATATCCTGTGTCGCCTTTACAAATAAACATGAAACGGACAAAGAACAACCAGACTCAGAACGACAATTTGTGGATCACACAAAGTGTCGTCCCATGTGGGAATCGAACCCACAACACTCAGCGTAGTAGGAAGCGCGTGGTGACCGCTCAAACCACTACGCCATCCGTGCAGTCAACAATGGAATTTACTTATTTGATGTGCTGTAGATTTGTATAAAATATAAGAAAGTACAGTCCAGACAAAAAGAGAGAGCACTGTAAATTAATTTAAGAGAAATTATGTCCTAATTTGGAGCCGTTCGACTGGGGAATTAAGAATTTGATTAAAACTCTGGGCTCTGTTTGTTTCAGAGTAATAGCTATCGGGGTTAAGTTTTGTGGCTCTTGTAGATTTACAGTAATTTAATTTGGCTATTGATTTATCCTTTTTTATAGTTTTTAGAAAGCTGAAATAACTAGCTTTCTTCTATTAGAAATAATAATCACATATTGATCTACTTACCTACGACTAGGTACCTACCTAACACAAATAAATACTATTATTGTGTACTTTAATGTGGTTTGTACTTTAATAAAAAAATTGCACTTACTTCAAAATCCTACCAGCTTCTGGGTTTCTGTAAATATCACATTTGTGAAGCGGCCTGGATGGATCCCCTCGGATAAACTGTCCTGTACGTTCACAGACGGCGCGGTAGATCTGGAACTGGAGAACCGTGCTCACGAAGTATCTGAGGACAAATTAAAAAAATTTGAATATATACTTTCAGATTTACAGCACGTGACTTACTTCTTGATGAATCCAAATATATCAAAAGTCTAAGCATTAATCCAATTCAAATTAATTAACTCTTCAAAAGTATCACCAACTTTAATGTGCCTACATCATGATGAATTCGAATGATACAATTTTCATTCGGAGAGAATGGAAGAAGAAACAGTTTTCCCCCTTTCTCACCAAATTTAGTAAAATGGCAAGAAGATGATGATGATGATGGAGGGTAGATCCATCACAACACGTATGTATTGCCGATGTGGTAATGTATGTAAAATGACTCAATTTTGTTTAACTTTATTGAATTAAACAAAAACATTTTACAATAAGAAAGATATTTAATTCAAGTAAAATTATCTTTGAATGTATTTATGCAATCAAGAGCATTTCTTATGATATTTTTAGTATGTTTAGTACCTAGTGTAAACCTTATGAACATAGTAACAACTGTTAGCAACGTCATTATCGTTGAGACACGTTGGTGAATTAGTGTTTCTGAAGATCGTATCTTTAGATAACTAGAAGAAATGAAAATCCTTAATTTCTAGTAAGTATCGTAAATATAGATATAGTACAACAAGTAAAGGCACTGCATACAAGACGACTCAGGCGCCGGAGGTCGCAGAACGACCTCCGTCCTCATGGGACGAAACTTTGTGTGGTTCACAAACTGTTGTTCTGAGTCTATGTGTTGTTTGTGTGTGTGTTGTCCAACGCGACACAGGATATATAAAAAAAAACATTACGAAGTAATTCTAAAATGTGCCTCAATATTCAAGATACATAATACATTAATGAATTTAACATATCTTTAGACGACTTATTTTACTAAAATTACCTATTTTTAATATAAAAAAAAAACAATTTTCTTTGCAACAACAATTGCCAACAGATGGCGCTGCAACCACATTTAAATTGAAATCAAGTTTTATTTAACGTATAAAACTAACTGAATAAATCCTGATAATTCTAATAGGCTTTATTTAGAACACTGCCCAATAATTTTAGTAATTTAAAGCTTTTGAATAAATAAGTTAATAATCAAATTCGTACTTCAAACAATGAAAACTGCAACTGCATGCTACAAATACGTCTAATAACATTACTAAAATATAAAAACTAAAATTTTTAAGGCTTCGCGCCCACATGTACGTAGTTCCCTTTATAAGTTATGAGATGCTCAAAATTTGAAAATGGAACGCATCTGGGTCACTTATTTTCAAAAGGCAAATTTATTTGAAAATCAAACACAAAAGGCCATTTACAGCAATTACAAAAAAAAATAGTAGTATAATACCGTCGTCATTTCCCGTTTTTTCGTCTGCTACAACGGAGCTTAAACGTCAACATTTGCGTACTATGATATAATAATATTTCGATTTTAAATGTGGTTCATCTGAAGGTTTAAGCTTAGAACGTTTAAATGATTTTAAACGATCTCAAGCAACCGTTTTTAGATGGTTTAACGATTTAAAAGGGGAAAAACTAGCCTTGAAAGTGATGACAGAACTGGACGCTCGCCAACAGGAGTCAAAGTTGCAAGGATCGCGGAACTTTGGCAAAAAATGGTAGCCAGTTTATTTATTCACGGAATGGACATCTTGCAACATCAATGCTAAATAATTAAAAGTGTCTAAACTTACTTTTTGCGTGTCTAAAAATTTATAGTGAAAAAATACACATGTTAATATAATATTTTGTAGGCTAAAACGTATTTTTCTCAACAAATAAAATGAAATGATTACGTACTAACCTGTATACAATTAATTAATGTTTCCAATACATTGAGTTAAACAAAATAATAGATCAATGTTCCAATAGAACAATTTCACTGTTATTACAATAGTAATTATTGCCCGTCATTTCCCTGCGTCATTAAGTACTGGTATATGAAGAAATTGGCCTAGTTCGCTAGTAATGATGAAATGTTATGGTTCTGTGTATAGCATCATTAAAAAACTAAAGACATGTTCATTTGACGCAGCTGATGATGAAGTCGTTAGCCAGAGGCTATATAAGTTAATTTAGTATTAAAACTAATTCATGCGATAAAGGTAGACGAATGCTATTTTCTATAGTTGTTTGACGATATTTATTTACACAGCAGGACTAAGTAGTTGAGTGTGCATGCATCGCACAGTTAGTATATTGGGCATCTTCACAAAATCAATCGTAGGGTCGCGGCTGGATCGCCTCAAGCAGAAAACCTACTTTGAGGTGGTCCGGCCTTAATCAGGGGTTTACTCGTTCCATCTGGCACGAGTAGGAACCCTAACTCGAAACTGACTGAATAAACATTATATACCTATGTCAATTTTACATAACTGGTTACTAATTAATATTAGTCATCCGATAAAAGGTTATGATAACGTCAACAACAACAACTAAAATCAGCTATTAATTAATAAAAAATTCTAAGAAGAATTTTTTTCATGCCTTTCTGTTTACCGATTCGTTAACGGACTCTTGTGAAATTTGGCAAGTAGGTACTAGGTCTAATTTTAATTCAAATGGACTAGAACGTGCTCAGGTTCAGTTCAATGCTGTTGCATCTGCACATAAACACATACATTATGCTTTTTTATTTTAAAATTATACCTATCTTTTCAGATTCTTTTTGTTGTGTTCTTATCACAGATAGTAATGTGTGATTTTCACACATAACTATCTGTGTTATATTTTACCTAGAACACGACTAAACAACTAGAACACTTAAATATTAACCCCTAAACGGTACTTAATTGATTCACATCACACATCATCACATCAACAGCCTTTAATTAATAGTCTACTGCTGGACATAGGCTTCTCCTTAGAAAGGAGGTTTTGGCCTACTATACCACGCTGGCCAGACGGGTTGGTATAGGGTTTGAGTCAAGTTTTCATTCTCTCTGCAGTGCTGTTGTTCATCATCAACAGCCTATAACAGTCCACTGCTGGACATAGGCCTCTCCTTAGGAAGGAGGGTTTTGCCTACTATTGCTGCTGTTGTTCTGCGTAGTTTTTCTCTTAGTTGGCTCTTACGACACCCACGGGATGAATAGGGGTGGTGAGACTCTGTATTCTTAATCCGTCACCACGCGCTTAATTGATTGCTACAGTATATTCTTTTCCTTGTTTGTTTCAAGCAAGTAAACATTAACGTGGTTTATCTATGTTAATATCACCAAATTCTCATATCCTTTAACTGTAACTCAATAGCTGGATGGTAAATAAAACTATTTCTATGTACAATGTGTTCCATTATAAATATATATATCACTTCCAGTCATTCTTATTATTTTTTGTGTAAATACCAAGTCTGAGTTATATTTAAGTCTAATTTGACAAACAATGTGCTTTCGCTTACATTTTGGACACACTTCCTGAAATGAACGAACACTGCTAGCTGTTAAAAATATTTTCTGTTTTCGATAGTTTCGTTGAGAAAGGTCAAACAATTTGAATTCATGCTATCGTAGCATGAATTCAATAGGGAGAGAGTTATGATCATAGACGTGTGTCTGCAGGCAACGAAATACTGGTATAATATTCTTTTTGTCCTTTCTTGATGCCTAAATATTTCAATTTCATGTGTTACAACTGTGTTATCACAATATAATTAGCGTATGGTCTACATACCTCATTTGAATATATTTAGTTATGTTTAAAACTCATGACATTAAAATATTGGAATAAAAAATGGCCGTGAGGATTAACTTCCGCGTTCTTATATTTAAAACTTGGAGAATTACATAATTAACAAAAATTAAGCATAGTCAAATATTAAAAATTAATATTAAGTATATAACATTTTATTTTATTTTCATTTATTCTTTGGTATTTAGTAAATAATTTAAATAAACTTAAATACATAGAATATGGTATATACAAGTTTCAAGAAGCCTTAATATAAAATAATAATAATATAAAAGCAAATCTGAGTTTTATTACATAGATCTTGCGTTAATAAAGACTTTATAATCATCTAAGCAGCTCTGCGTCTCTCAAAAGGAATAATTTATCCCCGTGTTTTCATTGACGCTCGGTTGCTATGTGTCTTAGCGTGATGTTATATTTTGCAGTAAATCTCTCAAATTTTTGCAATGCCTGGAAAAGGCTTCTAAGTTGGGACTACTACATATAATATTATAAGATCATTCATGTACACTTGGTTGGCAAATAAAGATTTGATTTGATTTGATTTGATTTGATTATATAAACAATCGTCACCCTTGATAAATAAGCTATCCAACAATAAGAACGAATAAATAACATCCAACATTATTATTTTTTATTTGAACCAGGAGTTCCTGAGATTAGTGCATTCAACGAAACAAACAATTAGACTCTTCAGCTTTATAATATTAGTAATAGTAAATTACTTTAAAATGACATTTCCTACAGTGTTCCTTGTTGCTTTTTATCCCTGATAACGTTTAACTTTCATGGTCACCGGTTGAGTAGTTAAGTCGTTACAAACATACTTCAATAACAACAATAACAAATTGCATTGCATTCGAATCTATAATATGAGTTAGAATTTAATGAATTACGGTAAAATTTCGTCCGTCTTTACGTCTGGGTGACCGCAAATTATTTGCTCGACGATGTCCGTATTTCTAAACATAAACAACATTTACTTGTAGTCAGTGCAGTATTGCACCCATAACATTATTACGTATTACTCACCAATTATACACCTACTATATTTCGTTTAGACATAAAGCATTCCAGATTTCGTAAAATAAACATCGTTTCAATTGCTTAGGGCCGTAACAAAACTATTTCATTTACTTTATATAGTACACAACTAGTATACGTAGTATTTTGCCTACTAAGCTGATTAATAACGTAAAATTAACGAAGTATTATTCGATAATTCAGAATAGTTTTGACATAATCGTGATAACTATGCTAAGAGTACAAGGAAAATGCAAAACACTTAATGAAATATATATATATATATATATAATAAATAAAATGTTATATATAATAAATAATATATATATATATAAAATGCAAACACATAATTTATGAATCCCTTTTTAGAAATTAGTAAAAAGTACCCCTTTTTAGAAATTACTGTTATAATCAAGTATTACGATTACGATACGATATTATTACGATACAAAAAGTGTATAAAGCTGATTCTAAACGACATAGTAATATGCTATAAAGTTAGGAAGGATATAAAGACGGCTATATCAAATTTTAGGGATAACTTTAATTGTGTGGCAACCCCAAGTGTCACAAGTTAGTCTATTGCAGGAATAACTTTGACAAAGACGCCTCTAAGAACTGGTCTCATCTTTGCAACATTCAAATGTTATTGGTGGGATACACATTTAGATACAGCAATTGGCGTGTAATTTACAACAGTCTAAGGTGTAGGTACTATTCATGTTTGTAGATTTTATTTTTTGAATTTTCTTTCTTACTAAATGTCAAGAAATTTTAATGAAGTTGATTTTATTGCGAACGTCCAAAAATAAAATTCTAAAGGTTTTAAAACTTGTGTTTCATATTACTTGAAGAAAATGTCATGAACTCGATTACCTATATTGCCAGCGTATAAATATAAAATTCTAAAACAAATCCGTTTTAAAAAAATCTTACAACGGGTCATAAACTTTACGACCCTTGCGTAGAGATAATCAAAACTACGCAATATATACCTATTAGAATATAATTTTTACTAGTTCAGTGGCATACATACATGATGTAATTACACTGGAAATCAGTAACGATGGTATTTAAAGTTAGTTAGACGACCTTAAAATAAACCAGATGTAATAAAAAAAAGATATTGCAAGATATGATTGGCGATATCTGTAGCAACCCTATAATTTCAATTACGTAACTTCAATATATTGTCTAAATACCTTAAGGCATCAGATTTTACATCACTAACAATAAATTTATTATTTCATTAGAACGAAAGACTTCGGGTAGCTTTTGTTAAAGACTGTTGTCATTGCGGCTGTTCTTTGTGTAGGTTAGTTTGGTTAGTAATCGATCACAAATATATAAACAAATGGAAACAGTTTTATTTTCATCATCATCAACAGCCTTTAATGGTCCACTACTGAATATAGGCCTCTCCTTAGAAATTAGATTTTGGCCTACCACAACACGCTGGACAACCGGCTAGTATATACATATATAGGGTGTGTGGCAAATTTTCCTTTTAATGGCAGTGATGTTGTCCTGCGTAGTTTACTCATTTGTTTAATTAAGTTTTGCATACAGGTTATCAGGTGTACCTTTCATCTAGAAAACGGCAAACGCTCCAAGGATAAAAAAAATATCTTTTACACAAATAACAAAATTTACATGAATACGACCAAAGCCGCAGGCAAAACATGGACAACTTAAAGTTTTAAAGAATTGCTACGTAAAAAACGCACATTAATTTTTTATTCGGAAAATTGCAACGGTCTTTCATTTTCACTGACAAAAGGCTGTATCGTTTTTTAAATTCGGTAAATGTTTAACTCTACGCATCGTATTGATCAATCACATCTTAGAAAACCTCACGTGATTTATCACAGATCAAAGGAAAGAATTGATATCATTATTAAACCGATGTTTTAAAATAGGCTTTCGTTTATATAGTTTGAAAATCAGTACTATGTGACTACTATATACGGAAAAGTAAATAATAAATTTTCAAATCCATTTCGTAATAAAGAAGAAGCGTAAAACGTAGAGTTGTAACTCTTTGGTAATCATTACAATTAAAAACGAAACAGCTTGCCGTGAAGGTCAGCGAAATTATATGACCCACATTTCAAATGTATTACAGATGCATGAGATGATATATTGCGACATTGAAATTAAAGATGTTTAATTATTTATGTTAGTAGTCATCTCTATTAAACTCAATCTTCCTGAATTTACACAACGTGTTGCAGAGAGGTGTGGTGGATGTCAGCGCTTTACTGACACATTTAATGACGTGAGATGCATTAAGTATTGAAACATGGCTATATTTGCGTAAACTAAACATTACACATACATTAATACATATTTTTTACTTAAATTTTGCTATACTTGTAAGAAAATGTTACATGTAAGAAAACGAGGTATTACAATTTTGACATGTATATATTTCTTTATTGCCTCGAAAATACTTCAACCAATATTGATTTTAATCTATTTAGGACAAATATAT